CCCCAAAACCCCAAAACCCCAAAACCCCTACAGATTTTTTTCTCTATTTAATAAGAAAAACATTAATTAATTAACTATATGATATTTTCACCGCCTGTCATAAATATATAAGTTTGCAGCCTCATCTTTGTTGTCTCTAAGTAGGATTTGAAATGATACTTTGAGTCTATTAACTAACATTTGGCATCCCAGAACCAGTCATTTTCATTATTTGTTTCTGCCTCTTTGTAGCGTTAATTGCAGATATTTCGAAGGCAGTTCTCTCTTTGTAGTTGTATAGACCGCCACCTCCAATCATATCAATCAGCCTTTCATTGTTTTCAACCATAACCTCTAGTTTATCTACATATTGAGAACTCAATTGTTGTAACTCTTTCACTTCATTGGATGATGTATCAAGTATAAGTAATTTATGTTCATTATCGAAATGAGCTTGGATCTTATTTCTGACTACCATTTTACAAATAACTTGTCTTAGCTTTGGTACTGGAATGTCAAACTGATTTGACAGTGACTCTAGGCCAAAAGAATGGTAGTTTCTAGCTCCACGGCAGAGGAAAGCTTTCAAAGCTGCTTCCTTGAATTTATAGACTAGAGTGTCTTTGAATGAGCTAGTAGAGGAAGTGAATTCTGGCATCTTTTGAATAAGTTTAATACAGAATATGTGATCGATAGCTGCTTTCCAGTTGCTCTTGTTAAGCTATTTAGCAGCGAATACTAAATTGTCTCTATAATTTTCAGCTGCAAGATAGAAAGCCTTTGCATCATACTAGTCAATGAGCTTTTTGAAATTTTTGCTGATAACCTTTTTGTTAACTGAGTACTAATTCTCTGCAATATTTGGAATTTCCAAGAGCATTGCTGTAATCATGTAAATGCAGTCAAGTTGATGTAGGTTAATGTGCATATGGAAAGGAACTTGTCTCTTAAGTTCTTCTTTCTCAAATTCAACTGGCTTATCAGGAGATCTAGAGATTCCTTGAGCCAAAACTTCTCTTAACTTAGCAGTTTGGCAAATGTCAACGAGAATATCATGTGATTCCTCAATTAAACCGTTTCTGAAAGCTGACATACCAATTTAAGTTATTGCTCTGTTGTATATAATTTGAGTGCCAATATCTTAACCATTGATGATATCACCAATGTGAGTCTTGAGAAGAAGATCCTTGGCTTAATGGAATCTGTTGTGAATACTGTGATGATAAATTGTGTAGAGAGCAGCTCTAATCTTCATTCTGTTAGTACCATTTTAGTTTATCAATTATACTAATTCATCAATAGCCTATTGACTGTTGCCATTGAGAGTGTATGGCTTATTTTCTTCATTACTAGATTGGTTTGCACTAATTTTATCGTAGATTGAATCATTTTTAAAGTGCAAGTGATCCAGTTTGAGAATAGCTACTCTTGAAGCTTTATTTCTATCCCCTAGTTCAATTAAAAAGCTTTGAACTTGATCACAGAGATGTAGGAATTTGTTTTCATCTCTGAGTCTTTGTAAATATTCGATTTTATTGTGTGGAGTGTTTTAATAAGCTTTCAATAACTCGTAGTCTAATTTTTCCATAAAGTTAGCTATTGATGGCATTATTGATTTTTCAATTTCAGCTGAACCCGCGAGTTCAATTTACTTCTCATCAGCATCAGCCTCCTCACTCTCACTGTCCTCAACTTTTTCAGCAACAGCAACTTTCGTTTCTCTGGCCAAGAAATTTCTCAAAGATTGTCTCAATTATTCATTGTCCAGGAGCTTAATCAAGTTGGTCAAGTGATCAAAGGTAATAAGCCAGATTTCTCTGCCCATATATCCTTATGAAGAGATTTTAGCTGAATCAAAGAGTGAATTTAGTAAGTTCAATGTAATATCGACCTTTTGCTTAGCATCCTTGACTTGTTAAAGCATAAATGTAAGCACAGATAGGTGATATTTGGGGTCGAATTTACCTCTCATTCTTTCATCCTGGAGTTCTTTGATCTTTTTGACTACATTGTCTCCCTTGGAAAAATCTATTTGATTGTAATCAGTTTTGAGATTAAGGATTGTCTCTTTAGCTTCTTTAGTATTAGTGGCAAGGGCGTTTTGCAATTTGTCAACTTGCTTATCACCTACCTCCTTATCTTTATCTTTTTGAGAAGCAGTGATCTTGGGTTCTTTTTTGTTTTCTGGTACCTTTTCAACTGTCTTTTTTATTCCAAACTTATCTTGAAGATGCTGAGGAAGTCTGTCCTTTTTAACCCACTTAAGTCTTCTTTGAGCGGGAGTCATCTGCTCTCTGGGGATTGACTTGAAGAATTCTTTAAGTGTCATGCCTCCTGTAGTTCCTTCTTCCTCACTTGAACTTTCTGAAGCTTCTTCCTCTTCTTCTTCCTCATCATACTCACTTTCTTCTTCCTCCTCTTCTTCAGATTCACTCTCATCTGAATCTTTTGTTGTCTTTTTTGCTGGTACTTTTGTTGTATCTTCTTTCTTTGTAGCTGCTTTTGCCTCTTCTTGTGTCTTTTGAGCAGCTTTTGCAGCCTTTCTCTCGTCTTCACTCCAGACTGGGTTCTCTCTGAATTTAGCGATCTGCTATTCAAGAGTGTTTGAGGCCGGTCCCTTTACTGGAAGATATTTCTTCATTTTTTGCTTTAGTTTGTTCATCTGAACACTATTGGTCTTGTTGAGATTCAATTTCTTGTCCTTGACTTATTATTAAGTCTCAGTGATTGCGTTTTCAATCTTCACCAAGAGTCTTAATAGGTTGAGAGGTAATATGCATTCCTTTCCCTTTTAAAAGATAATTCCTCTTTGCTATTCCTCGTCCTTTTCCATTTCCTCGCAGAATTTGTCGAAGTCTGTCATAAGCTAACTGAAATCGTTAATTCTCAAATGGTTGTTGATGTCCTTGATCATAGTATTCAATACCTCTTATTGTTTATCTTCCTTAGTCTTTACTACTCTATTTTCCTCTTCACTTTCTGATGATTCTTCAAAGTTTTTCATGTAATTTCTTCTGGCTGGAACTGCAGTCTTTTTGGCAGCTGCAGCAGTTTGAGCGGGAGTTAGGACTGGTTTCTTTTCATCTTCTGATGAGTCTTCTGACTCTGAGTCTGATAGATCTCTAGCACTTGCGAACCACTTGTTCATTTTTGCAAATCTTTACCTTATTATTAATTAATAATGATAAATTAGTTATTAAAGACTATATTAGCGAATTGAATTTATATAAACACTCCTCTTTGGTTTAATCAAGTAAACGTATAATTATCAACATATTATTAATAATTAAAACATTTATTAAAAACAACTCTTGTGACTCAAAATGGAGATCCTCCAATCAAAATCAGATTACTTTGAGTGCGAACTCGACCCTAATGAATTCCGCAAACCTAAAGTAGACCATCACTAATCTTACACTGAGACTCTTTAGGAGCTGCCCTACAAGTGCTATGCTCTACTCTTTACTATTCTTTATTTCGTTGTCTCACCCGTCACCTTGAATCAAGTTTACAGCAAGGCGAGAAAGCAGTACAAGAAGACTCGTAGAAATATGCGCATGAAATACGTGAGAGTCAGGAAATACGGACTATTCAACAGTCCATAGAAGTAGGCAAAGCAAGATGACTTTACCGGTGACACCTGCTTTATCACCGATAAGATGTTATCTGAGTCTGAAGATGAATCAGACAATGATGAGCAATACTAATAGTACAGCAGCAAGCAATCTTATGAATCTCCTAAAAAATATGCTGGTATTTTCAGTGCATGATTGAATGAAAGAACACCCTATCTTAACATACTATACTTTATGTGATTAAAGATTTCTTGTGATATTATATCCTTCAATAAAACATTTTCTTCTAAAGTTTCTCTTTTGATTGATTTATCTTTTACTTGCTTTCTAAGCAATTTCAATCAAATGGGGTTTTGGGGTTTTGGGGTTTTGGGGTTTTGGGG